GCACAGAGTTACACTACGGGGACACGGAGGAAAGAAAAGGACTAAAAGCTAAAAGCAGACTTTAGAAGGAGCAGTACAGAAACACTGAGCTGAACTACTGTTCCCCGGAGAACAAAGAAGATATTGTCTGAGATATAGACTACGTATATTATATTCTAAAGAAGTGCAGGGGAATATATGGAGACAGAGAATTCCTTAAACAAAAGAGACATTAAAAAAAAAAGACACCAAAGCCAGCAGTACTACTATTAACAAACAAAAACTGTGTGCAAATGCATCCATGTCATTCTCACCTATGAACAGCTGGCTGTTGAGCTGCAGGTGGAAGTGTCCGTCAGCTGGCGCCTCCTGCGTGGCGACAGGAAGTTCATCCAGTCGAAGCGACGCTTCCTTGACGTTCCGCTCAGCTCGGACTCGATGCCACCGGTTGTCATTCAGCGGGACGCTTGACTCGACACGAACTTCCAGCGGGCCGTTACCAACATCAAAGGAGAAAACCACCTGAGTGGAGGCTGAAAAAGTAGCAAGAGACAGGAAAACAGCGGGATTTCATTAACTGATTAATAGAACGCTTTTTAATAATAATTATATGGATCGTTATATAAATTAAATCACAAAACTCATAGGCTGTTAAATTTAGACTGATTATTTTGTGATAAGAGTCTTTTAGTATTCTGTATAAATGACCTTAAGCTTTAAGAGGGTCCTCCTTTTAAAATAAAAAAACAACAACAATTCATTAGAAACAACCTCATATTAATTAAGAAGCTTTTAGTAAATACTAACAAATTAAAATCTGTGTATTTCATTGTGCAACTCTCTATAGCGGGGGTCTCAAACTCGCGCCCCAGGGGCCACTTAGGGCCCACATCACCCCTACTTTCAGCCCGTATATTGATATGAAGAAATATAATGTAATTTGACCCTTGAAGTTACTTTTTTTGTTAGGGAGGATTTGTTTATTGTTGTGTGCAATGTTAAAACAAGTTCTTTACAGAGCAAAAATGATTTAATATGACGGCAATATGAGCAGAGAGCACAAACATGTTGAGGGTTTGGTTGTGTTAGTTCAGTGAGGGAATTAATTAAAAGAAAACAATTTTCACTAGTAGTCAGAAACTAATGTGTACACTCATGTCTGCATTTTTATTTTGTTAAATACGAACAAAATTGTGCTTCCATGTTCCTGGCCAGAAAGACAGCACCAATTTGTTTATTTGGTAGTTCAATGAAAGGCTTCAGTTAGTTAAAAGTGAGAAAAATAAATTGTGTTCACGCTTACAGTTTTGTCATGTTATACAATTTGAAATTTGAAAAAAAGCAAACAAAACACTTCATTTTCTGAAATATTTGTGGGTGTTTTCTTGTTTTCCTTTGAAGTACTTGAACACTAAAGTGGCCCTCACATGACACGACAGTGCCTGCAGTGGCCCACGGCTCATTTAAGTTTGAGAGCTCTGCTCTATAGTATACTGTAGTACTTACAGGTATTTTATCTGTATGTTAAAGTGACTGTGGAAACACTTCTCTTTTGGAAAAATATGTCAGATATCACATTCTTAAAACTATCAATAAACTATATGGATTCAACACACAGACACCTGCCAAAATACAGTACTTATATTTTACTCACCAAAACTAGAATACCCAAAAGTACAACACTAATGTTTTGGAGGGGCTGTCACCACCATACAGCAGGCTTTTGTATTTGTTAACTAATTCAATAAAAAAATGTTCTAGAAGGCATAAATCAGGTTCAGCTGCCTGTCAATCAACGCTAGCATGCCCCCAATTCACATATTCCAAAGAGTGGCTCAATAAAAGTCACCCAATACAGTAACATTATACAGGCAAAAGTATTAGGCCACACCTCGGTCACAGTCTGTCCAACAACCTGCAGAGACCATCTGTTGTACATCTATCAGCCAGCTGCAGGAAGCAGTGAAGTTAGAATATATAGAGACTAGGGGTGCAACGATACTCGTATCGATATTGAACCGTTCGATACAGTGCTTTCGGTTCGGTACGCATATGTATCGAACAATACAAAATTTTTAATTTATTTTATCAACTTT